GTACCTAAGGAAGAAACAAGAACCACCCAATCTCAGGGAAGTTTTGCAAAGGGCTGTTGTCATTATCACTAAGCTGGGTTTCTCTGTCCTCCAGGAGACTCCAGGATGGTGATACACAAGCTGAGAGTTATGACTTGCTATGTTCAAAGAGACAAGCAAAAATATTTATTTCTGTCATTTCTCTCAAAAAAGTTATTTGAGTCACTCACATGTCTCACTTGGTATTTAAAAGGCTATAGTTTTGAGTAATCATATGACAATCCCCATAAATGGATACTGACTGATAGATATAATGAGTTAGATTTGGCCAAGATAGTTGCACTAAACATTTATGGAGCCCACTACTTGCAAGGCAGCGTGTAAAAATTCACATATATTCTATCATTTGATCCTTACAAAAACTGTATGAGGTATTGGTATCTATGGCCACCGTTTTATATAATGAACAAAATAAACAATGACTGAGCAATTTACCAAAGGGCCTGCCTCTGGTAAGTGGTAACACTGGAATTCAATCCCTGTCTGTCAGATTCCAGGGTTCAAATTCTTAATCCTCTATTTTCGATTACCATGGACCTTTCTCAATAACCCAGGCAGGACAAAACTGCTGAAATACTTGGTTTACAACTATGACCTATAAAAAAATGTACCCCAAGCTACTAGTCCTGATAATCTCTACACCTTGAAAACCTTTTAGAGAGTGCTGTTAATATTTGCTGAGCACCCTCCATGTGCTGATAAGTGCAAAAATTATTTTTAACAAGAAGAAAAGCCTTTTCTGATGGTCAGTTTCATAAACACTGCCACCCATGTTCCTCTTCAGTGAGATCCGGCTGAATCTGGCTGAAGTCACGGTGATGAGCTGAATGGGGGTCTGTCTTGACACTTACGACACCCTACAGTGCCTATCTCTGGATCGCCTACGAGGAGGGAGACCACTAGGCCAAGTCATGGGGGGGGGAGAAATTTGGGTTTCAGTAACCAGTAGGATTTAAAGCCAATTCTTATATGGTAATGTTGGTAAAGATGTTTAACACTTTTTAGGTCCTAAATAATAATTCTTATGTATTTCATCCAAAGAAATATTCTGACATAATAAATAATATATTTGGCTCAAAGGTCTTGCATTATATTTTCAAAATACTAAATTACCAATTAGAATGAGAAACTATTATTCTAATGTGTTAACTCTAATGGCTAGAGTTAATGAATCTCTAAATGGACATGCCTTCTGAGCCAAGATACAATTACATCTAACAACATCTCAGTAGGCTTGATTTTTATTAATCATTAGAATGATAGACGCCTTCACAAATGTACTTCAAAAATATCAATATTTGGGTCTAATCTTTCAAAGGTCAATACTAAACTTTATATACCACATTGGACTAAATATAACCAAAATTTAGTTAATATTCAATAAACATAAATTTAGTAAAATTAAAGTAAACAGATGGCTAGCTGATGCCACTTTCATAATGGCACTAATTTATTATTTTCCTGTATAGTTTTTCATAATGATTGCTAATTATATTGAACCTTTATCTATGGTAAAATGTCCGGTCCTGAAACATACCTTTTCTGAGTGTTTGAACTGATGCCAGTAACAATCATACATGCGCTTGCTAGTTCTTTCAGGACAGCAGGTCACTCACTGTCTTAACATAAACCTTCAGGCTTCGTTCAAGTAATTGATTAACTTCTCCATAATCATAGTCATCATACCTATGAGCAAGGTGACAACAGCTTTATAATGACAAAATAAAATTTTCTAAAGTTATACTGAGACTTTTATTACCTAGTAATTAAATACCAAGAGCTCACTCATTAACTCATCTAACAAATACTGAGTGCCTGTCATATGCCATGTACCTTCTGGTACTCTTCTGCAAACTGGTGATACACTACTGAACAAAGTAAGACAAAAATCCCTGGTCTCATGGAATTTAAATTCTACTGGAGAAAAAAAAAATTAAAAAGACAACCCTATACTATGTCAGTGGCGGTAACCACTAAGGAGAGCAGAGGGCACAGGAAGTCGGGAAGAGAGCAGCTGTGGTTGTGACAGGGTGGGCAGGAGGGCCTCTCTGAGAGGCTGACACCTGGGCGAGTATCAGGAGAAGGGGCTCCAGGGTCCAGCCCTAAGTAAGGCAGGAGTCAAACGTTCCAGGAAGAGGGAGTAGCCATCTCTCCAATGCCGCTGACTCGTCAGGGAAAGTGAGAACCGAGGGCTGACGCTGGAGTAGCTACAGAGAGGTCACTGGCTACCTCACTGCCAAGGTTTTTTGGCAAGGTAGGAGTAAAAGCCTGACAGGATAGTGGGTTCCAGAGGGAATGGGAGATGAGAAAATAGGGATGGTAAATATATAACATTTTTTCAAAGAGATATGCTGTGCATGGGAGCATAAAAATGAGGCAACAATCAGAGGGAAAAGAAGAGTAAAGAAAGGAGTTATTTTTTAAAGATGAAAGAAATAGCATGTTTCTATACTGATGGGAAAGATCCAATAAAGAGTAAAACTGATTATGCAGGAGAAAGAAGGCAGAATCGCTAGAATAAGGACCTTCAGAAGATGAGGGGAGATGGGATTTTGTGCCCAAGTGCACAGGAGCAGATAGTTCATCCATATTAACAGAAGGGACAGCAGAGGAAATGGCTAGAGAGGCAGACAGGAGGGTAAAAGTAGTGAGAGCTTGTGGGATTCACTTCCACATTTTCACTTAATTTTTATCCCAAACATAATGCTTAGTTAAAAAAAAGTTATCTCAAGGATTTTATATAAACTATTTAGTAGCATCCTACAGATAAATATAACCACGACATGTGATTTACTATCTCGAATATATTTATCATAACTGAATTAAATTCTATTAGTATTTATTTTTCTTAATTAGCTAAGTACAATGTATGTTTTAAAATGTGAGGATTCTATGATAACTTATTGTCTAAGATGGTAAATGGTCTAATAGCTGTTACTTAACCACATTAATAGCATCTTTTATGCAAAATGTTTCATTATTAGTTGATTGTTCAGTAAATTTCTTTTTTAAGTTAAAATTATAGAAAATACTTTACTTAACAAATCAATTCTAATTCTATTCCATTAAGGCTTTCTGATACTCTCTCAGAAAGGATACACTACAGAGTCTAATTGAATATATTCATAACTGAGAATTTCCTTTCTAAAAAACTATCTCCATAAAATCCTTTACACTCTAGCTCAAAAAGGTACATTCTTCAAAAAGAGTTTGCCTTGCTGATTAGACCATTCAATTTCATGCACTCATTTACTCACTGTCCTTTCATTGTTTATTTTCTAAACTTAAAGGCCATTAATTTATACTGATGGATAGTTTTGTTTTTGTGTTCTGATGGAAGCTTCATGAGAGCTTAGTTTTATTTATAATTACCATTCCTTCAAAAATAATAAATAAACCAACAAAGCAACCAGCACTTACTACAGTGATCTAGAGGGACTCAGTGTTTGTTTTTTAGCTGTCAATTCTTTCAGGAAGGATTCTCAAATTCAGTCTGATTCTACCTTATCCCTACTGATTACTGATTATTTTTTCCCCTTCTTGGTAAATCCTTACCACTGTATTCATATGTACATGTTAAGATTCAAAATATTTAAAGAAAAATGCTTTTCTATAAAATGGAATTAATTATTTTTATTTTGGTATCGTTAATCTACAATTACATGAAGAACACTGTTTACCAGGCTCCCCCCTCACCAAGCCACCCCCCACACCCCACTAGTCACTGTCCATCAGTGTAGCAAGACGCTGTATAATCACCACCTGTCTTCTGTGTTGCACAGCCCTCCCCATGCCCCCCTCACTCTGTACATGCTAATCATAATGCCCCCTTTCTTTTTTCCCATCCTTATTCCTCCCTTCCCACCCAGCCTCCCCAGTCCCTTTCCCTTTGGTAACTGTTAGTCTATTCTTGGGTTCTGTGATTCTGCTGCTGTTATGTTCCTTCAGTTTTTCTTTGTTCTTATATTCCACATATGAGGCGAGGTTGTGGAGAAAGGGGAACCCTCCTGCACTGCTGGTGGGAATGTAAACTAGTTCAACCATTGTGGAAAGAAGTATGGAGGTTCCTCAAAAAGCTCAAAATAGACTTATCATTTGACCCAGGAATTCTACTTCTAGGAATTTACCCTAAGAATGCAGCAGCCCAGTTTGAAAAAGACAGATGCACCCCTATGTTTATCGCAGCACTATTTACAATAGCTAAGAAATGGAAGCAACCTAAGTGTCCATCAGTAGATGAATGGATAAAGAAGATGTGGTACATATACACAATGGAATATTATTCAGCCATAAGAAGAAAACAAATCCTACCATTTGCAACAACATGGATGGAGCAAGAGGGTATTATGCTCAGTGCAATAAGCCAGGTGGAGAAAGACAAGTACCAAATGATTTCACTCATATGTGGAGTATAAGAACAAAGGAAAACTGAAGGAACAAAACAGCAGCAGACTCACAGAACCCAAGAATGGACTAACAGTTACCAAAGGGTTGACTGGGGAGGATGGGTGGGAAGGGAGGGATAAGAGTGGAAAAAAAGAAAGGGGGCCTTACAATTAGCATGTATAATGTTGGGGGCGGGCATGCGGAGGGCTGTACAACACAGAGAAGACAAGTAGTGATTCTACAGCATCTTACTATGCAGATGGACAGTGACTGTAATGGGGTTTGTTGGGGGGACTTGGTGAAGGGGGGAGCCTAGTAAACATAGTGTTCTTCATGTAATTGTAGATTAATGATAACAAAATAAAATATAAATTAATTAATTAATTTTAAAAAAAAGAACAAAGATAATACAGAACTTCTGGTACAGGTTAAATTTTTATAGTAGTAAAAATTATGCAAAAATATTTCAAGTGTATAATATACTGTTTAGTCAGAGAATAAAATCTCTCTAGATGTTTTTAACATTAGGAAGTTTAAAGGCAAAATAGTAAAGAGAAGCAATTAAGGAAACTAACCCCAAAGTTGGTGCCTGCAAGGGATGCGTTCTCTATGTTGTTGTCATTAGCGAGATCACACACACCGAAATTGTTGACTGCTATCAGCTTGAATCCGTTGGATATTTCTGGGTCTCTCTCCAGATTGATGCCACTACCAAAAACAAAGCTTGCCAGCGCATGATAATGTGCCAATAGGACCACAGCATGTACCAGTTCTGGCAGAGACCAGTTATTTTCTCCAGTTTTGACAAGTTTCTGAAATGAGAAAGTAAAAGTGAAAATGAAAATCACAGAATACTACAAAGCAATTTTAGAAAGCATGGAAAATCTACCAAATTTCTTTTGTAATAAAATTTTACAGCAATAAACTTAAAATTCCCTTTTAAAAATGTCTCATATTAAAGATACATGCTTTGGTCAAACAATGTTACATGAAAACTATCAAACCTAACAGTAGAATTATATTGTGGCTTCTTCTAAATTCCTTATATATACAATGGAACTTCTGCCTTCAAAGCACTTTGATGTATTATTTTAATAAGACAAATGTTTAATAAGCCAAAAAGAGAATCAGCGAACACTGGAGTTAGAAGGGATTAGCAAAACATCTACCAAAACCATTCATTTTAAGGTTTTAAGCAGAGACTCTACCTTAAAAATCACATAAGAATCAAATTCAGTAAGTCAACTTTTAGTTATCTTTTAGGCATCTACTCTGATGGAGAAAGAGCCTGTAGCAGATGCCATAAACTGTAGAATACTACCTAACATTTCAATAAGAATTTTAAAGTTTCAAAGCACTTTTTCATATGATATCTTACTATCTTAACTTGATCTTTCACCTGAATGATGGATCCACAAGAGATGCCATTCAAAACAGTGACACCTCTGTACCCAATTTCTCCCAGAGCCTGTTCCATCTGTGGATCCCTTGGGGTTTCTTTCCCATCAGTGTGTCCTCTCTCTGTGCATGTGTGCTGCTCCTTCCGCAAGCCTACCCTCGTTCTCACTCACTTCACAGCTAAAGCCCCAAACCAAAACCTGCTTTTGCTTTACTGTCCATTATTTAACTACTATGCTTGTGCGCTTGCACACATGTAATTTAACATATTACTGAAAGTGCAGGGAAAAGAAAAGGATATTTCAACCACCCTAGTATCTTTCAAACATCACCTTTTATTTTTATAAGAATAATGATATAATCAGAGTATGCATCTACTTTTATCTGCTTTTCAAACTTGACATTTTGACATGTTCATTTTTCTTGAGGCTACAATGTTTTATATTAATTTTAAGCATGAGATATATTCTACACTAATGCATGTACACAACTACTGCACCTATTCCTTACTGTTAGATATGTCAACTGCTCCTACATTTTTGCTTATTTGCTATTATTAATAATATCTTCATGCTAATGAAGTTAAGGAAACTTTGCTCATATTCTAGAAATAATTCCTAATAGGATTTTTAGGTCAAAGAATATTAATATTTTTATGATTTTTGATAGTATTGCCAAAGAGCTTTCCCAAGGGACTGGTAGAATTTATAATGCCTTTACCAGTCTTTGCAGGGTTATTATTAAACTTGAAAGGACAGCGAATACTTTTTAAATTCATTATAATCTAGACTCTTTTTTTTAAACAAATCCTGAAGCTCTTTCAGTAAGGTCACATATGACCTCCAAAAGGCCAAATCTATTCCTTTTTAGTCCTTATCTTTTATCATCTCTGCAGGATTTACATTTTCTTTACTTCCTCCCTTCCTGAAATTAATCTCCCTCAACCTCAGAAATTCCATGAGTCCTTTGCATCCTTTCAAGCCTGAGATGCACCTCCCTCCTCACAGGCCCCCCTTTCCCACAGCCCCTCCAAAATGCTGGCTTGCTCTTTTCTACTCATGATTTTCCTGGTACAGTAACTCCTGGAAGGATCATTCATTCTTAGAACTTGACCTTTGCTAATCTGTAAATATATACCTGATCTTATTTTGAATCTATCCCTTACCTTGAACTATGGACCTGTATTTCCTTCTGTAACCGGACATCACTGTATCGATGTCATAGACTGTTCGCAGGCCTGTGTATGCCATCCTGCTCATAGCAGTGCCTTCTGCCCAGTCAGGAAGACACCTTAGAGTTACTCTCCTGTCCTACTTACTCCCTTTCTCTATCCTACCAGTCACCGAGTCCTGATTATTCTTGAGAATAGTTAACATACAGTCTTACCTCTCCTCTTTATCTCTCCATGGCTTAAAAAAAATCATTTTGCAGGTTGATTACTGCAACTATTTATGTCTGGCGTTTCTACTTCTACACTAGACCATTTGTAATTTATCTTCTGCAGTCGCTGAAAATGCTTATACTACAATTCAGCTCAGAAACCTTTAATGGATCTTGATTATTTATCATTGTGATCTCAAGCTCTTTTGATTATATATACTTCTGACAGTAACAATTGGGAGGCCTAACTCCTGATAGCATGTACATTTATTTATGTTAATATGTACTTACAAAATACATTTTATATAGATTAGTTTTATACATGTACTGTAGTACTAATATTGTAAAATGCAGAAACCTAACAGGTTAAGAATACACACACACACACACACACACACACACACACACTCTGGCATTTTGAAGGACTGTCTTATGTATCCCAGAGGTACCATTACTCTGGAGACTATAGTTTCCTGAGGATAAAACACAAATTCTTGAACACAGTATTCATTGGGTCAGACACAATACGATCCCAATTTTTCCCATCTCCCATTCTCCACCTTACATAACCATTCCTAACCTGACGCTCTTAGCTACTTTTCCAAGACACCATAATATTTCATACATTATTGTCTGGCCGAAATACCCTTCTGTACTTAAAAATTTCCACTTAGTCCTCAAGACCTACCTCAAATATCACTTCTTTCATAAAACGTCCTGATCCCATTCTCTTTATGCCTTCATAAACTACTGTGCTGTGGCCATTATCTCTGCCTCTCCTCCCCTAGACTCCAAGCATGTCCAATGGCAGGGTCTATCTTTTTAGACCCACCAAAGTATCTGGCATAGACTAATTATATTAATTAAAATTAATTCCTTTATCTAACTGACACATCATCAAACTAGAATATAAACCTCAGCACAGCGTTGTGTCTCACATTCCCAGGTAGCTACACAAAGTCTGAGAGCATACAGACTGAAAACAGTTGAGTCTGGTTTAGGCTGGGCACCTCTGGGTGCACTATGTCTCATGGCCATGCACATGCCAATTGGCCACCAGGATCGCTCTTTCTGGAGGGGGAGTGAATCTACTTAGCAAACTGGCCCAGCTCGTCGAGGGGGCCTCTGCCACAGCTTTCGGCCTTTCAACACTTCCTACACAGACACAGGATCATGGGGGATCTATACGGTCTGTGAACCAGCCACCTTTGCACACATGGTACATGTTGTTCAAAAAGAATGGATGCGACTTTGTACAAGTGTCGCCGAAACTGAAGCTACGGAAGCCAGAAATCTTCCGAAAACAGACATGTCGTGACGGCCCCACTGCGGTTTGTGAGCGTGTCAGTGGGTGGAGAGTTTCCATCCCTGAGCTTAAAGTGGCAACTGTAAATGCTGGCCAGTCAGAGATGTGTGTGCCAAATATATTTATGATTAAGACTCCAGCTATTGCTGCTGTTGGTACCATTGAGTGACTACCAGACTTTTAACCAGATTTGCAGTGACATGCTGTCTTCATGATTAAAATGCTCATCAAAGTATTTTGAATATACGTGTTTTATAAAACAGAGACCTTCAAGTTTTATACTGTCAATCCCTAAAGAGAAAAATTAAAATGAACACACATGCTTGGGAGAAAAAAAAGTTAAGTTTGGTTTAACTGAGCAAAAAATAAACATGTAGTCTAATAAGATTTTTTAAAAACAGGCATTTCTATGCATTAGAAGCAGGGATTTTTAATACTTAAGGCTTCCATTGATGGTAACTGACATGACAGCTCTCACTGAGTAGTTACCAAGTACACACATAGTGCTAAGGGTATTTGTAATAGCCTCACTCTGCAGGCTTTTGATGGGCATTCCTTTCGATGTGCAAGTGCTCTAGTCAATCACAGCTTTATTTCTCTTCTAAGTTCCAGCTTCTAGAGGCCTTTAAGCATTCACACACCACTTAGAACTAGAGAAGAGTGTAGAACTCATTTAATCTAGGTCCCTCGTTTTATAGAAGGGGAAATTACTGAGGTCCTCAGAAGTTAACTTACTAAAGGTCGTAAACTTGTGAGTAAGAGCAGAGGACTAGAACTCAGGTCTCTGATTGCGCCAGGGCTTCCTTTATTGTACCCATTGCTTGAAAAAGAAACCAACTTTTCTCATAGCCACTCACGGAAGCATTTGTATAGTTAACTACTTAAAGTATTCATTTGTACATTCATTAAATCCACTGACTCTAAATTTTTCTTTTACACATATTAATATTATTTATTTTCTGAGTTCCTATAATTATTTAAAGATTAAGCAAAATTAATTCTTAAGCAAAAAAAAAAAACCATGTAACTCTTAGAATCTCATTAGTATACTTCGTTTTTATTTCAAAGAAACACTCAGTACCTGAATGTGCTCTTTTGTGATCAGCCAGGGTCGGTGTGCTAGCAGCTTATTTATTTCATTAAGATTTTTCAGCTTTTGTGGTACATATTCCAAACCATTCAACCACTCAGCAATACCTCCTGTCTTTAAAAATTCATCCACATGCATGCTTATTAAATAAGAACACTGGTGCCTAGCTGCAGCCTAAAACCCAAAAGGAAGAGTTAGTTGATTAAACAATCATTAAAAAAGAGTCCTACTTTTTCTAAACAAATAATTTAGATGGAGTTTAATAATTTTTATGGCCAATAATTATTTTCTTACAGATCCCTCCTCCTCCTAGAACTTTCATCACAGTGCTGCCATAGATTTTTGAGTCAATACATGGATACTTGTATAAGCAAATAATTGTTACACAAAGACGGTCACTTCCTCATCTAGAATTTGGGTCAACCTAGACATGAGAAAATACATGTCCATTTCATTACGGTAAATGATATCAACTGTATTCTATTTAAACCATAATAAAATGTTATTAATTTGTATCTTACCAATTCAGAATGCATGCTAACTTGGATACCTCTTATCCCCTTTAAGATAACTGATTTCACATCTTATCCATGCACAGCACCCTACTGAGGTAGAATTGAAGCTCCTGACATCTTCCTTCCTATGCATTCAAAATCAGCCTTGATACTGACAATTTGGTAAATCCATGCAAAGCACTTTTCACTGCTCCTTTACTCAGAGCTGATCCTTAGTAAAATAGCACTATTTTGTTCTTTCTATTTTCTGTATCTTGTTTATCTCTTAGTTTGTAAGCATTCTAAGTCTGCCAGAACTTTAAGCTGAAATTAGTCAGGCTCACCATTCAGTAAAACACAGGATGCTACCCTTTTGTCATTCAAAGTGAAAGTGACACAGCACAGACAAGATGATCAAATCAAACTTGTAAAAACCAATCTGCCAGCTCACGGCCCCCTCTGCTGGCTCTGCCAGCCCAGCTGCTCTAGTCTCTCCAAACAGGCAGACCTGCATCCTGCTCTTCTCCTTCCTTTCTGTCATAGTCCAACTGTAACACTGTTTCAGCCTACCTTTCTCATTCTTGCTGCCTATGGTCCCAATTTATAAGTCTCTCCCCGCAAAAGTATTAACTAATTAACTAGTTTGTGCCAAGTACGATACTGAGAAATATTGTAACTCATTTCAGAGCTTTCCTCTTATCCAGCATCTCTATGGGTGCTGACTGGTACTTCCCTTTTAGTTGGCCAAATCAGTAATATTCTTCCTGTATAAAATGACTAAACAAAATGTTACAACCTGTTTTGTATTAATAATAAAAACAACAAGATATGAAGAACAAAAACAAAACTTGTGCGATATCAGCGATATTGCTTTGGATCGTACAACCATCTTTAATCATAAGAGATTAAACTGATAATTAAATGAGAAATGTTAAGTAATTAAGTAGTATAAAGCATTCAAAATGTATCCAAAAGTGCACAGGCTTCTTATCCCTATAAAGTGCTGCTAGCTTTGCGCACACACCCGGAACATTAGGTGGGAGGAGCGAGGACAATGTCAGGTGGGGGCGGGGCACAGGCCAGGCGCACGTTTATTGCAATGTAGGGCCTGTGCGCCGCGGGAAGGGAGCCGTCCATGCGCAGCATGTAGAACTGGCTCCGCAGGAAGGACTCCAGGTACTGGGCATGCAGAGCCATGACCTGCGTGACGTTGTCCAGGCGGCCGGACGTCGAGTACTCCTCCACCAGAAAGTTGGTGCGCTCATCCGCTGGGTCTGCTTGGATGACCTGGACACCAAGACACACGAAACGGTATTAAAAAAGTAAACCGATCTGTAGTTTACATAAATCACGCCACTACAGAAGCAAATGATTGTTCTTTTGATATTAACAGCCACAGAAATTATGCAGTTGTTCATACCAGAAACAAAAAGGAAAGCACTACTCATTTTTGGCTCTGGGACCACAATTTATTAAACAACAAATGTCAAATTAACGAACATTATACACACACAGCTATGAAACCGGAGAGAAGAAGCTCCCATTTCCTTTGCGTGGCGCACACGGCAAAGCTTTCGGGGCTCACTTGCTTGGCTGTCGACATACCGGTCTGCGGTGAGGCTGAAGAAGTGGCATTTGATTACATATACTTACAATTTTATCTCAGCAACCTATGAAGATACTTAATCACACTATCTTAAGATAAATACTTTCAGTTTGATCCTTTGCTTGTTTTTGCTATTCAACATAAAAAAGGGCTTCTGAACTTTTTATAGGGACAAAGGAAAATATTTATAGGAAAATTTATAGGAAAAGTGTTAATTGAAAAATTAAGTACACTTAAGTACTGGCATTCCTATTTTGAGCCTATCATATTAATCATTAAAAAACAAGATAATTTATTAAAATGGACACCCTCCATTCTAGGAAATCAAAAGAGCTTTCTCAAAAACAGGTTATTTATATGGAGCTTGACACATAATGACAGCTTAAGCATCACACCAATAATTGGCTCTGAAGGTGTTAAAAGGTTATTAGCACCTTGTAGAAGGATCCAGCTCTATGGGAATTATGTGGGCATATTCTAGGACTGGTTCATTATTATGGATATTTTAGAGCTAGAGTTCTAGACTTAAGCAGAACATACTCCTTATTTTAGGTGAGAAAACAGATTCAAGTTTAAATTCAAGGTAACAGCAGAGCCTGGTCTAGAATCCAGGTTTCCTAAAATCTAGATCAATGGTCTTTCCAGAGATCCACACTGCCATTAAGAAAGCACTCTTCAGGGCTGGCTTTACAGTCTCTTTTGAAAAATATGTACAAATTATGCAAAGGCACTACTGACTGAGGAAAATCTAATCCCAAAGGAAGTGTAAACTGTGAGAAAATGTTAATTGCAATAGTGTAAAATGAGGCAATTTCACTTCAGCTAATTAAAGTCAAATATACTTGCATTTGTTCATTTTCCCCATTTCATCAACTACAAAGACCAAGATAATAGTTAAAAACATATTAAACAGGATCCAGATAAACCACATACGATGAGGCATAGAATGTTGTTTTTGCTTTGTCTTCCCCAGCAGACATTTCTTCTGTTTAACTGATACCTAAAATATATTAATAGATTCATATGATTTGACAGATCCTGAAAAATCAGTGGCTTCTGCAAACCGTATTACCTTCCAACACATACTGTGAAAATTGCTGTGTTTCAGGAAGTCTTCATGTATATGTGGCAATCAGTCCACTAAGAGCAGCCCGTATGCCCTAAGAGGGAAGCAGGCAGAGCACAACAGTCTCTCTAATGCGTAGTCACTGAGTTCCCAAAACATTTCTGTTAAATTTTCCTTTAACATTTTCATTTAAATGTTAAGGTCACTAAAAGGTGAAATGAAGTTGAAGGAATTGCTGACTCTGGCAATGTCCTGGCATGTATTATTTAAATTCTACTCATCCCTTCTTTTAAAATAATGGCTGCAATATAACAGATGTCCCATAAATATTTATTAATTTCAGAACAATATAGGAATGATTCTGGTGCTTTAAGATAAGTAATGTTTTTGCAGTCAACAGCGAATTAGTTTACAAAACTGTACTTAACCTGAGTTAGTAACTCCTTGAAACAGAGAAAAACTCAATTAGTGCTTCTTAAATTTTTCTTAGTCCAAGTATATCTGAGAGACATCCAGGAATGTAAAAGGTCCTGTACATTGTGAAGGATTATCATCTCCTTGCGTCATTTCACAACGTCTTTTTTCTGCATTTACAGTCTTGACTCCCACCCTCACCAAAGGTGCAGACTGCACTGGGCCTTCTGTGACATGCTGTCCAGAGACTTAGAGCCACATGAAAGGAGTAACTACTAGGGATATAATATCATATTTTATTAGGTCTAGTTGGGAAACTTACTTTTTCATTTCAAAATATCTTAACATTTCTGTAACTCTTAACCACCATGAAACCACAGCCATTTTAAAACCTAAAACCTTCAGGCTATTTTATTAGCTACCAGCTTTGTTCAGAAAAGTTATGTTTGAAATGAAATATGGTAAAATTTTTATTTTCCTAGACTAGCAGTACTATCTAACTCTAAAATAAGAAGGTAGATTATTATATACACAAACTTTTAAGTTAAGTTGAAAATAAAATATTTCCAGTTTTCTGACATATAAATAAGAAACAAAAGCAACCACAAGTTTACTTCTGTATTAGAAATGGAGATATTCTGATACAACTAAGGCTTTTTGTATACATACACATAACACTTAGTATATTTTAGGACAGATAAAATTACTTCCTTCTCTGGAATAAACGCATGTGGTCTTCTTTTATCCTGTTTTTAAAAGAAGTTTTATGTATTAATGATGAATATCTAAGAAGAGTTAAATTGGCGCAAATTTACTGCCAGGGAACTAAAACAGAATAAATAGAATTATATAAAATTAGAAAGTGTTAGGTCTCAGACCAAAGAAAATTCGCAGGGCCGCTGTGTGAATAAGGTAACAGGGTAAGTCCCTAACATGCATGCACAGTAGACTCCTCAAATGTCATTTCCTTCAGTCATATTCTATAGCACCATAGATTTTTTTAGTCCATATTTGCCATGATTGAAAACCATTAAACTTCATTATAAAGTCATATCTAACATATGCCAGTTACTCTTAGACCTTAATTTGAAAGCTAAGGAAAGGTTAAATTCAAAGATTACATGTAACTCCCCAAGCAATGGCCTGACCTATGTTTTTTTTCCCCCTGAATAAAATAGGAGTAAGTATACGTAGCGTAAAGGTTTGAAGTTTTAAGTAAGAAAGATGTAAAACTTGGAGAAGTAGAGGTTAATTTAAGAAATGGGAACCGTAACAATGCTTACTGTTAAATTTACTATCCATTAAGTATTCACAACTTATGGATTACCAGTGGTGTGACTGAGTGTTAGTTTTTTTTTTTTTTTTGAGAGGGCATCTCTCATATTTATTGATCAAATGGTTGTTAACAACAATAAAATTCGGTATACAGGAGTCAATGCTCAATGCACAATCATTAATCCACCCCCAGCCTAATTCTCATCAGTCTCCAATTTTCTGAAGCATAACGAACAAGTTCTTACATGGTGAACAAATTCTTACATAGTGAATAAGTTCTTACATGGTGAACAGTACAAGGGCAGTCATAACAAAAACTTTCGGTTTTGAT